CACCACCTGTCAGTATATAGACAAATGTTTCCATTTCTTTTGGGTAGATATGTAGAAGTGAAAATTCTGAGTCACGCCAACTCTATACTTACCATTTCCTTCAGTAGTAAATTGAATTCTACAGAATTTCAATTTACAGAACAAATTTAAGTGTCAATGCTATTATTTTTAAATGATCTTACAGAGGAATTACTTTAGGAAAAGCTTCTTAAAGTGGTAGCTGTTAATACTGGGCAAAATTTACTAAGGTCTAACTCTGCTTTCAATCTTAAACCCTTAAATTTTTTTCTTCAGTTATTTCAGCTCCTGGTTCTAAGTCCTTGTTTCTGCACACTTCATTATAATACTCTCTTCGCTAACCGCCTTGTAGAAATCTGTCCCGTTCTTTCACTTCATTTCTTACACGTACATTAGCCACTCTGCGTTCATGAGGGAGTCAGTCTCTGCTGACGGCTTTCCGTCTCTTTTCTCTATGTGGTCTTTTTAATGATCTTTCTTTTCTTCATGTACATTGTCTTTGATGTCATCCCACAAATGGTCATTAAAGTACACCGCATCAAATCTATTCTTAAGATGGTCTCTAAATCCAGGTCTGATATAATCCAGGTCATACTTTGTGTCTGTCATGCCTTTTACCAATTTCTTCAGTTCAGCTTCTATTTAACGAAGGAGTAACTGATGACTTGTTCCAAAGTTGGCTCCTGGCCTTGTTCTGACTCATGCTAGTTAGCATAAGTGGGTAAAAATCTTTGTAATTTCTTCACCTTTGGCACTAATGGTTGGTACGTAAATCTGAATAACAGTCCTATTAACTGATAATTCTTGTAGGCATATGGACAGCATGGAACTTGAAGACAGATTTTGAATGTTTTATTGGTGGTAAATGCAACATCTTTTCTGTTGAATGTATCCTTTCTGGCACAACAGAACTGATTGTTTAAACTTATACTTCACAACAAAAAAATATTGATGACTTATAATGGAAAATCAGCTAGGCATATCAAAGTATATGCGTATAAGCAACACAAAAAGTGAGCATCCCAAACTAGTGAGTGATCCAAATTCATCTAGAATTCCTCTTACCATCTGTTCCTCTGTATGACTTCTACAAGATTCTCCGAGTAACTGTTATCCTATATGAACTCAAGATCATTGCTAGAAGGTGTGCTGTTGTTAGGTCAGATTGTTGCAGCCACTTGGTCAATCCACCTCATTGAAACCTTTCATCTTTTTCGCTGCCCCTGTAACTTTACCAAATATGTTGTCCTTCTTCAGGGACTGGGTCTCTCCTGACAACATGTCCAAAGTATGTAAGATGAAGTCTTACCATCTTTGCCTCTAAGGAGCACTCTGGCCATACTTTTTCCAAAACAAATCAGTTTGTCCTTTTAGTAGCCCATGGTACTTTTAATATTCTCCTGCACAATTCAAATGCTTCAATTCTTCTTTGGTCTTCCTTATTCAGTGTCTAACTTTCACACATGCAAATGAAGCAACAGAAAATACCATGCCTTGGGTCAGGCGCACCTTAGTTCTCAAAGTAACATCTTGCTTTTCCATACTCTGCGAAGGTCTTGTGCAGCACATTTACCTAATCAAGTCATCTTTTGATCTCTTGACTGCTGCTTCCATGAGCATTGATTGTGGATCCAAGCAAGACAAAATCCTTGACAACTTCATTCCTTTTTTCCATTTTTCATGATGTTAGCAGCGGTCCAGTTGAGTTATAATCTATACTGAAAACTGCAGTATCTCTTCTTCACCAGCAAGTGCTTCAAGTCCTCCTCACTTTCAGCAAGCAAGGTTGTGTCACTTGCATAGCGCAGGTTAATAAGCCTTCCTATAATTCTGACACCACACTCTTTTTCATGTAAGCCAGCTTCTCTGATGATTTCCTCAGTATACAGATTGAACAATATGTTGAGAGGATACAAGCCTGCTGCACGTTCATTCCGGATATTAAATCATGTAGTATTCCCTTGTTCTGTTTGTACAACTACCTCTTAATCCATGCACAGGTTCTGCCTGAGCACAAGTGTTGTGGAATTCCCATTCTTCTCAAGGTTATCCAGAGTTTGCTGATTCACATAGTCGAAGGCCTTAGCAGTAAATAAAACACAAGTAAACATTCTCTAGTATTCTCTATTTTGACCCAATATCCATTGGACGTCAGCATTGATATTCCTTGTTCCATTGTCCTTTTGAATCTAGCCTGACTCTCTGGCAAATCCCTGCCAATGTACTGCTGCAAACATTGTAAAATCTTCAGTAAAACTTACTTCATGTGTTATCATGCAAGCTGCAGAAGGTATAGAACACATAAAAGTTGAAGACATTGTCCCTGACCTCAAAAGCATGAAAGGTAAGAAAGATAGAGACCCAAATTGGTACACGTATCAGTACTACATAAATGGTACAAAATGGTTTTGAGAGAGTAGAGGGAGATAGATCATTTTAAACTATATGGAAAGAAGGGGCAAAGACTCAAGTAATAATACCAGGAAAAAAAAAACACAGATTAACCATCATCTATGCAATAAATTATTTAATATGGCTCTTTGAGCCATAGCTTGCCCTTTTTTTACACCCACCAAATGACCTTCGTTTCCTTGATGGATCTGGGTAAAACAGTGAGGGGTAAGAAGGTGTAGGTAATGACTGAACTTAATGGTTCAGTTGTGAGTGGTTATACAGGTTGTCAATGATGACTGCCATCCTGTTGGGTATAAAGGAGCCATCTTTTAGGGGGGAGTTGGTGGTGGTGTAGTGGTGGTGTGTGGGGCGGTGTGTGTGTGTGTGTGTGTGTGTGTGTGTGTGCGCGCGCGCGCGTGCATGTGAGTGTGTGTGTAAGGAAACCAGCAGGCATTTACAACCAGTAAGAGAGAAGGGTCAGGAGTGTGCATTACACCTCCTTGATCCAGGAGACAGCTCTGACACCAGAGGACAGCCACAGTAGAGCCAGGAGATAAAGTAAGAGACAAGCGTGCTGGACTTCCCAGCCCAGAGAGAGCAAGTAGAGATGAGTGATTTTAGGCAGGAGGCTGGCTGGAGGAACTGAATTGGCTAAAGAGCTGATGCCTTCATGTTGAGATTTACAAAATGGCATGCCCTTTGGGCACTTAATAAAATTAAACTCACTGCCATCAAGTCAATTCTAATTCACAGCGACCCTATTGGACAGGGTAGAGCTGCCCTACTAGGATTCTAAGACTGTAACTCTTTATGAGAGTAGGAGAGCCTTGGCTGTCTCCCAAGGAACAGCTGGTAGTTTTAAACTGCTGACTTTGAGGTTAGACATCTGAATGCATGGCTACTATGACACCAAGGCTCCTGATGGCAACTGTACAATTGCTTTGTAACATTGCCTGACCCAAGTGGCCATGAACCATAGAGCAACTTGTCCTGACTGAACAACTATATTCTGAGCATTACTCACCTGAACTGTAACCTGTTGAGTTCTCTTAACAAATCTCACAACTATGAGCACTGTTGGAGTTTGCTGTGGCCATTGGAATAAGTTATAACATCAAGTTGAAAAGCAGCATACGTCTTGAAAGGGATGGTGGGAGAATGTCTGACCTCTGACCTGTGGCAATTGGCCTTGGAAGCTATAGAGGTCTGATGCCAACCTCATGTCATTTCCATTCTCCTCTCCTATAATCTATGAACAAGCAAAGGGAGACCTGGTGATGTAGTGCTTACTCGTTGGGCTGCTAACCTCAAGATCAGCAGTTCAAAAACACCAGTTGCTGCTTGGGACAAAGCCTAGCCTTTCTACTCCTGTAAAGAGTTACCGTCTCGTAAATCCACAGGAGCAGTTCTACTCTGATTTACAGAGGTGTTATGAGTCAGTATTGACTCAAAGGCAGTGAGATGAATAGAAAATAGTCTAGGCTAGAAACTGAGACACCTGTTACAGGTGGGTGAAGAGTAGTAGAAAATTAGGAGTGAAAAAGAAGACTGGAGTCGGGTTATGAGAAGTTTTAAATGCCAAACTAAGGAGTTTCAACCTTATTAACAGAGAAAGGAGAAAGATCAAAATTGTTCTTCATTGAGTTATAGAACAGCAGTATAAAGAATATGTAGGACTAGCAAAGACAGAAGGCAGCCTAAATAACATGACAAGCAAAGATATTCAAAGTCAAATGTCAAAACTAAAGTGGATAAAGGAGAAGAAAACAGACTTCACACCGGGTC